CTCTTGGCACATCTCTCTCCATTCTCACCTTGCCCTCTAGGTGGCTTAATGGTACGGAGCTGTGCTTCCTACCAAAACAACAAGGTTCAAATCCATCAGCTGCTCCACGGGAGAAACGTGGGCCACCTCCTGTGATTAAATGTGTCTGAAAACCCAATGGGCCGTCAGAGGATGAGTAGATTCCAACTCGAAGGTTGTGGTTATTGTTTACAGCTGATTCAAAAGGGACCCTTAGCTGACCCTCCAGGCGTACACAACAATAATAATTTTTCCCCACCTTGATCTTTCTAAATCCTTTCCACTAACATGGCCTTTGCACTTGTTTCCTCTGCTCAGAATGCTAAATCTTTACAAGGTTTACTTACTCTGTTAGGTTGATCATTCTGCACCTAGTTTAATTTTCTCTAAAGACTTACTCTGATAATGATGTTTGCTGACTTGTTTATGTCTTGCCTTGCCCCACTGGGACGTCAGCTCACTGAAAGCAGGTTCCTTGTCTTGTAATCACTGTGCCCCCAACACCCAAGGCAGCGCCCGATGGGCAGCGGGTGCTCAGTTAATGTTCGCGCACTGGACTCCTGCGACCCAGGCCAGATCTTGAGAAGGGCGGTGGCCATCCTAACCTCCCTCACGTTAACCTCCACTCCCGAGCCTACACCCGCGTCCCAACGCCTCTAACCAGCCTACAGAAGCCCCCACCCCGGGAGCATCCCCGCACTCACCAGCCCGGCGCCGAGCTCCTTCCGGCGGAGCGACTGCCCGATGCGGAAGTGCTCCCGGGTCGGCGAAGTTGCTTCAGCGCTGACGGAGCATTTCCGGGGCAGGAGGAGCGGCGCGTCGGCGGCAGCTGCGGTGGTGAGGGGGGCGTAGCTGGCGGTGGGGCTTCTCGGGAGGACATCGCGGCCAAGGGTCCTGGGTCCGGCCGGTCAGCTCAGCCGAGGACCCCGGAGAAGGGACAGAGGCAGCTTGGGGAGTGCCCCGCGGGACCTCCTCACGTCTCGACGCGGAGGCTCTGAAAACGCTTAGGTTATTACAACTCTGCCTTTCTTTGAGGAATTGACGCCCTTGTCAGAGTTGTAAAACTTAGTTATTAGGGCATGTTAACATCTGTGTCCCCTTTTGAGGCTTGTGCTTGTAAATGAGAAGAGCGCTTGTGTGTCCCTTTCGAGACACCATAGGATATGTTATAGTAAGATGACAATGATAATGACAAGGATGATAAAAACTTGACAGACTCATTGCCATTGGGTCAGGACCGCTCTTAGCTGACCCTCAGGCTGGCTTTTGGAAGCTGTAAGTCAATCGTAGGGAGAGCGATTGTCCATCTTCTCCCGGGGAGCAGCCGCGGGGTTCGAACCGCCTGCGAGGCTCAGCCTTTAGGTTAATGTCACTAACAGCACAAACACAAGTTAAGGGAGGTTCGTGATCCTCCCCTATCCTGCCCAGTAGATACTAATATCTCAGATTGACGGATGAGGACATAGATGCATTAACTCAAGACCTTTGTAGTGAAGGCTTGGAAGAAAGTCTCGGTAACTTCCCGAGGTTCTCTTAGGCAGAATTACAGCCGCTGTTTGGTAACTGCGGCTAGAAATGTATGCATTTTTGGTTTGTATGATCCAGCCTTTTATTTGTAATGTTTCAATGCCTGTCTGAGTACTTGGCCTCAGTTATGAAACTAACACATGCTTCCTATAAGAAACTGTGAGTTTTTTTAAAAAGAAACGGAAAAAACCCAACCACCCCAAAGACGATAAATAGAAGCAGTTCTAAGTTGTTTTTTGTTTCTGTTGTTCCTACTATATTATAAATCCCTTGAGGACAGGGGTAGTGCAGGTCTTCTAATAACGATGGAATAATAATGATATTAATGATGAGTAGCCTTCTTCACAAAACAATCTCTTTATTCTTAGCTCAGCATGTGATAAATCCTAAATGCTCATTGACTCTTTGGTATGCAAATTAAAGAATAGAAATAGCCAATATTTAACATTCAAGTATGGAGTATGTCTTAATATAAAATTATATGAATTAGATGTGTGTGTTAAAAACTGTAGAGAGCATACAGTGGGAAAAGGGTTTTGTTTTCGTTTTTTAAAAAAGCACCTAATAATTAAACCACCGACAACACTGACTGAACTCTTTTGGAGAATTGTGTAATCTTTACTGTTTGGGCCTTGACATAATAGGTGGTTTATATGTGTAATTGTTGTGTTTGAATTGTTTTCCTCTTAAGTGTTTTGGAAAAGTATACAGTAATGTAAGACACATAGTTCAGATCCACGAGCTGGTCCTTGGGAGAAGGATGAGCAGTCTCCTGATTTATTGTCTTTGAAAGCTAGCTGGAGGGTCAGCTACCGGTTGCCTCTGACTCAACAGCACACAACAATGTAGGGAGCTTCTGGGAAGCACACTGCTAATCCAAAGGGAGTATATCATTGGTTCCATTTGGTGAAAGATGCCCAGTCTCCGCCTGTGTGATTTATACATGGAAACCCAATGGAGGGTCACCTCTAAACCCAAGGCAGTGAGTTAGTTTTATAACAGTAATGCCATATATCTGTATGGTCTAAGTAATGTGTTCCTGTCCTTTCTGTTATCTCCATAGCATCTTTCTGACATTTTGCCTACTCCAATACTGCTTCTGACACCTCAGGCCTGTGAGCTTTTCCATGTCTTCCAACTGCACTTAAATGCTCTTCTTGTCATCCTCATCTATACAGATGCTATGCATCCTAAAGACAGATGCTATAAACCCAAACTCCTACAGAGTTCAGTTGTTATATGCCTTACAGTCAATTTCAGCTCATGGTGACTTGTGTTGTAGAGTAGAACTGTCTTATGGATTTTTGTTTGTTTGTTTTACTGTAATCTTTATGGAAGCGACTGCAGCGTCTTTTTCCTATGGAGTCACAGGGTGGATTCAAATCACCAATCTTTGTTACGGTTCGGTGTTTAACCATTTGCTACCAGAACAGGGATACATTGTGGGGAACATGATTAAAGAGCCTAGCAGCCATATGACATCCAGTGACCTAGACCATAGGGAATTTTGCTACAAACCTAAAAGTGGCACGTCTGGCAGTTGAGATCCACTAGAGGCTCCATGGGAGAAAGAATGCTCCTGTGTGTTTTAAAGTCTCAGAAAACTCACTGAAAGGGGAGCTCTGGTGGCCTAGCAGCATGAAGCTGTGTTGCAGTCCTGAAGGCTTTGAATCCAAAACATGGTTTGAATCCACCAGGTGCTCCACTGGAGAAGGAGGAGCAGTCTCCTCCGAAAACTCACTGGAGGATCAGCTGTGAGTCAGTTCCATTTAGGTGACACTAAGTTTTTTAGTCAGAATTGACTAAGTGGCATACTGTAATAACAGTTGTAGTTATTACCAGACAAAGGGCCCTGATAGAGCAGTGGTTAAGTGATGAGCTGCTAAATGAAAAGTGTAAACCTCTGCACTACCAGGGAGGAATGATTAATAAGGTTGTTGAAGCACAGCCAATAAAAGAAAAAGAATAATAAATTGAACTGTGTCTGAATGAAAGGTTTATTCTATGGATGGTTGTGAAGAGAATGAAGCTATAGACTAGGAGAAAATATTTACAAACCAAATATCTAATGCAAGACTTGTGTCTAGAATATATAAAGAGTTTCTAAATAAAACACAATAGTAAAAAAAAAAAACAAACCAACAAACCCAAACAATCCATTAGAAAATGATCAAAATATAGAAAGTTATTTCACTGAAGAAGATACACAAATGGGAAATAAGCACATTAAAAGATGTTAACAACATTAATCATTAGAGAAGGACAACTTAAAACCGTAGTGACATACTACTACACAGTTATGAAAATAGAAAATATTTTTATACCAACCACTGGCCAGAATGCAGAGAAACTTGACCATTCATGCATTGCTGGTGGGAATGTAAAATGCTTCAGCTACTCTGAAAGAATGTGGCACTTGTTTACAAAAGTAAGCATCCACTTACCATATGACCTTGAAATTCCACTCAAATTTATATTAAAAAAGTGGATGCTCTGTTTACATAAAAAAAACTTGTGCATGAATATTCAGAGCTACTTTATTTGTAATAATCCCAAATTGGAAACCACTGAGATATTTTTCAAGGAGTGGTTGTTGTTATTGATTGCCTTTAAGTCTTTAAGCCCTTTAAAACTATCGACATTTATCAAGGGATATGCAGTTAAACAGATTTATCCATACCAGAGAATATTGCTCAGCAAGAAAAAGGAAGGGCCTATTGATACACAGAATAACATGGATAGCTCTTGAGGGGATTATACTGTTTAAAAACAGTCAGTCTTAAAAAGTTACTTGTATATTTCATTTATCTAACAATCTTTAAATGAAAAAAAAACACTAAGGAGCTAGAGAATAGATCGGTAGTTGCTATTGGTTGAGAAAAAGTGGAAGAGTGGAAAGATGCTGTGTCTAAGAGAGGAGAATAAGACATCCCATGATTGAACTGTTTAGTATCTTGTCACATGAGTCTATGCATACAGTAAAATTAAATAGAATTCAATACACAACATGCACATGCAAGCATGAGCATATGGAAAACTCATGAAATCTGAATGAGGGTAGTGGATTATATCATTGTCAGTTTCCTGGCTGTGATATGACACTATAATCATAGGACACTACTATTGGGGAAACTATAGGAAAGGTATATTATGGCTTGTGTATTATTTCTTATATTGTTGTTATTGATTGCCTTCAAGTCGAGCAGGACTCGTAGTGACTCCATGAACAAAAGGCCTGAAAGCCCCTCCATAACCGTCGACATTTATCAGAGTTCATGGAGTTTCCAGAGGCATGTTATTTAGGAAGTGGATGCCATTCCTACTCCCAAATTATTTCATATAGTTGCATGAAAATCTATGATAATCTAAAAAAATTTAAAAAGAATAATTCATACAAAAACCCTATACAATTAAATTTTTTCTTTGCTTCCGTTTCACTAGGCAATGCTCTAATCATGTCGGATAAAGATGACATTGAGACTCCAGTAATAACTGAAGCAGCTTCCTTTCTTGAGGATGACAGCTCTGAGACAGCAAAGAATTCTGAGTCTGCTGACCTAAGTACCAAGCCAGAGAATAAAGAGGAACCTATAGTTTCCACTAGGAAAAGGCCTGAGACCAGATCTTCCAATAACCTTGAGACTGCGGAAGTTCTCTCTGATCAGACATCACAAGCTGCAAGCAAAGTAGAGTATTGTTTAAAATACTAGGATTGAAAGTGTTTGGAAGTTTGAAACTTGTGCCAATTAATTGTTTATCTGTTTCTTTCCCTTTATGAGCATAAGATAGACTTTTCAGTTCTATAAATGCCTTTATGAATAGTTGCCTTTCTGTGTGATATTTAAATGTTGATACCTGTCAGTCAAGCGAAACATCAAGCCACATAACATTTGTTTACCTGTACTTTTGACTAATAATTATAAACCTTATTTATAAATTCTGATTTGCCACTAATTTTTTTTTCTCTCTGTCTACCCCTAAAAATAGGAGTCAGTTTCCAAAGTGGTACCCCAGACTGGGTGGGGTTACTGGGGCAGCTGGGGCAAGTCCTTACTCTCTTCAGCCTCAGCTACAGTAGCCACAGTAGGTAAGATCATCAGTTAATTTTATTAATTTGTATGTGTGTTTCACTCCAGATGTAATAATTCTTCCTTAACTTTGTTATCAACCACTTGATAGTTTGAAGATGCATTGGTAATAGCTGATTGGTTTATGCGGCCGCTAGAGTGTGTGGCATTTCCCCATTAGAGTCTTGCTGTATAGGAATTGGTAGTATAAAATTGCTCTTTAATGATGACCTAACTCATGCCTCGATTTTATTTATTTCTTTATTTTTATAAGGAAACAGCTTGGCAGCCTAAGATTAGTTGGGCATGGTTCAAAATAAAACATCTTTTCATTATAATGAAAAATAATCTATCATTTTTATTATTCCGCTCTGTTGATTACTAATAGTAAATAACACTGAAATATAAAAATATTGCCATTTTTTTTAAATTAGGGCAAAGCATTTCAGATGTCATTGAGAAGGCAGAGACTTCCCTTGGAATCCCAAGTCCCAGTGAAATTTCAACTCAAGTCCAGTATGCATCAGGTTGGTGTATGGAAACATTAAGACTTAGAATTATGTATCAGGATAAAAACATGAGAGCTCATTTTGAAGTATTTGTTTATTGAGTGTCTATGATATGCAGGACGTCAGAGGATTGGGATAATACAGGAGATTTGGAATCATCACCCCTAGTTAGACATCTCTGTCCTTCAGTTGTTAATATGTTTCTTTGCTTTGCTTTCCTTAACTGTGGAGCAGGATGATTTATCTGTTTTAAACTCTAAATAAATAATACCCTGAATGTAAAAGAGTTGTGCTGTGCATAATTCAGTAACACTCTAGTAAGAGTTAGTTGAACTTGAAGTTATTGTGTCATTAAATATGTTTTATTGTATAAGTTTTGAGAGTGTATTTTTATGTGTATTTAAATTTATGTGAAGGTAAAGTTCAATTCTGGAAGTCTGCCTTGATCTAACAAGTATCTGCTCTAACTATAAACTTAGAACCAGGGATCAAGAGATCCAGAAAATAAATGCTGTTTGGGGCCTGAATTTTCATTCTCTTTCTCTCTGAGACCTTCTTGGGAGAAAGATGTCTGCTTCCATAAAGATTACAGTCTTGGATACCCTGTGTGGCTGTTCTCTGTCCTGTAGAGTCACTATGAGTTAGAATTACCTTGCAGATAATTCCTTTATGGCTTTAAATTTTTGGGAACCTTTACAGCTGTATTATTTTCCTTATTGGGAAGATTGATTTTCACTGTTTATCTTCCCAAACTCTAGCTTTTTATTGAATCTTGACACAATGCTTATCAGAGACTAACTTCTTATTATGTGCTGCTGAGTTGACTGCAATTTATAGTGACCCTTTACACAACAGATGAGAACCTGACTCTATTTTGTGCCAGTCTCATCATCTCCAATATATTTGAACCCATTATTACAGTCACTGTGCCAGTACATCTTGTTGAGGGTTTTCCTCTTCTATGTGGACCCTCCATCAAAGACAAGTATGATAATGTTCTCCAAGGACATCCCTCTCCTACCAGATCGAAAGTATGTGAGACAAAGATTCATCATCCATGTTTCCAAGGAGGCTCGTTGTATGTTCTCTAAGACAGATTTGTTTGTTCTTTTGGAAGTCAATGGGATATGCAGTATTCTTTTTCCATCAACACAACTCAAAAGCATTGATTCTTCTTCTGTCATCCTTAGTCATTGTCCAACTTTCACATGTGTAGCAAATAATCAAAAAGACCATGGCTTGAGTCAGGAACACCCTAATCTTTAAATTGATGTCCTTGCTCTTCAGTACGTTGTAGAGGTCCCTGACAGCAAATTTTCCAATGCAATACATCTTTTGATTTGTTGACTTTTGGTACCAAGGGTGTTGATTGTGGGTCCAAGAAAGGTGAAATCATTGACAATGTCAGTCGTTTCCATCTATCATGATGTTGCCAAATGGCCCAGTGGTGAGGAATTTTTTTTTTTTATGTTGAGATGCAATCCATATTGAAGGCTGTAGTCTTTCATCTTTTGCAGCAAGAACTTCAATTCTTCCTTACTTTCAGTAAGCAAGGTTATGTCATCCTGCTTAATACAGTTTGTTGATGAGTCTTCCTCCACTCCTGATGCCTCTTTCTTCTTCTTAAAGTTTGGCTTCTCAAATTTTTTTTCTCATACAGATTGAATAGATGTGGCTAAAGGATACTTCCATGTCTCACACATTTCTAACCATGCGGTGCTCCTTTGCTCATTCAGAAAGCCACCTCTTGGTCTAGGTATAGACTTTGCATGAGCATAAGAAGTGTTCTGAGATCCCATTCTTCTCATTGTTAGCCATAATTTGTTATTAGTCACACATTCAAATACCTTTGCATAGTCAGTAAAACAAAGATAGATAACCTTCTGTTATTCTCTGTTTTCAGCCATGATCCATTTGGCTTCAGCATAGATATCTCTGGTGCCACAGCCTCTTCTTAATCCAGCTTGAATTTCTGGTAATACTCTGTCCATGTACTGTTCTAGCTGTTTAATAATCTTCAGCAAAATCTTTTTTTTGGCATATATTATTAATGATATTGTTATAATTTCCACATTCCGTTGGATATATTTTTAGAATGGAAATAAATAGGGATTTCTTCCAGTCATTTGGTTAATTAACTGCAGATTTTTAGTCAGATCCTTATTCAGGGCTGCGTCTGTTGGACATGTCAGTTGATATTCCATTGATTCTTGGACCTTATTTTTTTGACAAATGTCTTCAGTCCAGCTTAAACTACTTCTTTTATCACTCTTGTTCTTGGTCATATGCTACTTCCTGAAATGATTCCATGTCAGCCAATTATTTTTTTATATAGTGGCTCTGTGTATTGTTTTGTTTTCTTTTGATGCTTCCTGGATCATTCAAGATTTTGCCCATTGCATTTTTCAGTATTGAACTCGAGACTTGAATTTGTTTTTCACAGCTTTCAGCTTAAGAAATGCCAAGCAAGTTCTTCTCTTTTTATTTTATTTTTGGACCCTAGCTCTTTGCTTATTTCATTATAATATTTTGCTTCATTTTCTTAAACTGCCCTTATGTTCAACTCTTTTATATTGGCATTTCTTCCCTTTGTTTTGGCTTCTCATTATTCTAGTTCAATTTCCAGAGTTATTTCTATGTTTAAAGTCAGATCAGCCAGAGTAATCTAATTTGTTCTCCTGGGAATTTTATATGGAAATAACTGGGTCTAGTTAGTCTCTAGAGAGCTCTGGTGGCTTAGTGGTAACACATTGAGCTGCCAACTCAAAAGCGTGCCATTCAGATCTGCTTCGTGGGAGATAGATGGGCCATCTCCTCACTTGCGATTTAATGCCTCTGAAAACCTGCTGGAGGGTCAGCTATGAGTCACTTCCAACTCAAGGTACACAGCAACAACAGCCTTTGATGGACACATGTATAATGGGATCAGAGCTCCTACATGAAGCAGTTGGTGTTCTTAGCTGCTAAGCCAAAGATCAATGATTTGAGTATACTCAATGGTTTTAGTGCACCAGTGCCTAGGAGAAAGCCCTGGTGAGTTATTTCAGAGAAATCAACCGTGTAAAACCCAATGGTGCACATTCTATGCTGACACATTTGAGACCACCGTAAGTTAAAGTAGTCTCAATGGCAACTTTTTTTAAAAGAAACTTGGCTTTCATTTGTACTTCTGATTCAATTATCCATTACTAGGGGACAAAGTGTGGACTTCCTTGTATGCGTATAGATATTATCCTGTCACTGACAATATTGTACTTCAAGACAGATCTAGCAATGA